TGTCCCCATGGTTGTCCCCATGTCTCCATTGTCCCCATTGTCCCCATTGTCCCCATTGTCCCCATGTCCCCATTGCCACATTGCCCCATTGTCCCCATTGTCCCCCTTTTCCTGCTGTCCCCATGTCCCCAATGTCCCCATTGTACCCATTGTCCTCCTGTCCCCATGTCCCCCTTGTCTCTATGTCCCCATTGTCACCCTTGTCCTCATGTCCCGATGTCCCTATTGTCCCCATATCGCCATTGTCCCCATTGTCCCCATTGTCCTCGTGTCCCCGTGTCCCCATGTCCCCATGTCCCCATGTCCCCATTGCCCCATTGTCCCCATTGTCGCCCTTGTCCCCATGTCTCCATTGTCCCCATGTCCCCATTGTCCCCATGTCCCTGTGCCCCCACTGTCCCTATACCCCCGCTGTCCCCGTGTCCCCAAGCTGTCCCCGTGTCCCCATCGTCCCCATTGTCCCCTTTGTCCCCATTGTCCCCTATATCCCCAATGTCCCCATTGTCCCTATACCCCCACTGTCCCTGTGTCCCCGCGGTTGTCCCCATGTCCCCAAGCTGTCCCTGTGTCCCCAAGTTGTCCCCAAGCTGTCCCCTGTGTCCCCATTGTCTCCATTGCCCCTCTATTCCCATTGTCCCCTATATCCCCAGTGTCCCCTGTGTCCCCATTGTCCCCAAGTCACCACGGCTGTCCCCAAGCTGTCCCCGTGTCCCCGTGGCTGTCCCCAAGGTGTCCCCCATGTCCCCATGGCTGTCCCTTTGTCCCCTGTGTCCCCATTGTCCCTGTTGCCCCCTATATCCCCAATGTCCCCATTGTCCCTATACCCCCTGTGTCCCCATGTCCCCGCGGTTGTCCCCGTGTCCCCAAGCTGTCCCCGTGTCCCCAAGGTGTCCCCCATGTCCCCATGGCTGTCCCTGTGTCCCCTGTGTCCCCATTGTCCCCTATATCCCCAATGTCCCCATTGTCCCTATACCCCCACTGTCCCCACGTCCCCATGGTTGTCCCCATGTCCCCATGTCCCCATGGCTGTCCCCGTGTCCCCATGGCTGTCCCCCCGTCCCCACGGTTGTCCCCATGTCCCCATGTCCCCATGGCTGTCCCCGCAGATGTCCCCAAGCTGTCCCCATGTCCCCGTGTCCCCAAGCTGTCCCCCCGTCCCCGTGGTTGTCCCCATGTCCCCATGTCCCCACGGTTGTCCCCGTGTCCCCATGGCTGTCCCCCTGTCCCCACGGTTTTCCCCATGTCCCCATGTCCCCAAGCTGTCCCCCATGTCCCCATGGCTGTCCCTGTGTCCCCATTGTCTCCGTTGCCCCCTATACCCCCCTGTCCC